AGTTCCCATCCAATTGCTTCTTGTCCTGCTTCAAGTGCTTGGTAACTTTAAGACTTGTGGATTCAACTCCCAGAATTCTGAGAGTTGAAATCCACAAGTCTTAAAGTTGCCAAGGTTGGAAACCCCTGCTTTGGAGAATAGCTTGACTCCCTCTTCTTTGTGGCAACCCCTCAAATATTGGAACACTGCTATCCTAGGTAGAGGCTAATATTTAGAAGAGACTCTCCTGCTGGAGCAGGGGGTTGGACTAGATGACCTCCAAGGTTCCTTCCAACTCTGTTATTCTATGTCTATGTTTCCCCTAGTCCTTTTCTTCATCAAACTGGACATACCCAATTCCTGCAACAATGCTTCATATGTTTTAGCCTCCTGTCCCCTAATCATCTTTGTTGCTTAATCACCCTAAATCATCTTTATTTGGTTGAATGTGTCATGTGAAGCCATCTAAAGAGCTAAACACACTGCTTGCTAAGGAGGTCAAATTGCATGCACTCTATGCAAGACCCCAATGGCCTTCCAATAGATTGATTCCATGGGTTTCTATGTTCCTCTAATTTGTCAACCCTGCGCATCTTTTGATTTTTGTTGTCATCACTGTTTTGTGTCTTTGAGTCTATGTTGGCTCCTGGTAATTGCCTAGACTACACTCTGCAGTTTGCTTAGTTGTTGAGGGTTGTTGTTGTTGTTGGTGTTTTTTTTCTTGGAATAGTTTATTGAGAGTGACTGGCCCAAGTGTCACCCAACTGGATTTGTGACCTAGAATTCATCGTCTCCCAGGTTCTAGCCTGATGTCTAACCATACCAAATAGAACATACCACAAATCCCCAATGGGCTAATTAAAGTTGAAAATAAGCAATGTAGCAGAAAACAAGAAGAAACAAAATGCCAACAATCTCAACTATTGCTCCATGATGCCACATGTCCACACAACAATTAATCTTCTATTCTATCTCCATACGTTCTCCTAAAGATCTAGTTTTCACACCCTTCCAAAATACCAGCAGTTCTAGATTTCTAGATCTTTGGGTCTAGAAAGCTAACTTGGATGGAGGCAGGCCTCAAGGGGGAAATCAAACACTTCGTTTCTTGCAGCCATTTTTATTTAGAAAAAAAAATTATACTAGCCTTAAAGTAAGCAAACTGGAAAATAAAAATGATTTATTTCAGGTAAGTTGCCATGCAACACCTCTGCTACAATGTGTTTAACACTAGCAAGGCATTTAAGCTTGGATCAATGCAAAAGCTGTTAAATAACTTCAATAAATAAGAAAAAAAGGGGCAGATAGAGATGTATAAATTGCCCTTTTTCAGCCTAAAATGATTATCTTTCAACTCGTGCTCACTTAATGGCTTAACCAGGTCAGATAAAGCCTTGATATCTTTTTTTCTCCATGCTAGCCTTGGTGTGTGCTAACCTTGATTTGGCTAGATAGATGGTGGAGAGAAACACACACATGTCTACATATGCAAACAAACACGTACACCACATGCACATTTACTGAGGGAAAGAGTGCTTAACGTGTGAACTCCCTTTTTCATCTGGTGAAGTTAGGATGTATTTTGGCACATCTGTAGTGGCAACCCAGAAAGAGGATTAATTCAATAACCAGATAAAATAGGTTACATGAATGATGCAGTCTTGTAACCATTTTGGACACCATGAGAATGTGAAACAGTCATGGAAAGATGTCTGGCTGTTAGAGAGGCCAAGGAACTATGGGATGGTTTCAATATGTTCTACCTTAGTCACCTAACAAGGAACTCAACATCTGCTTCTGCAACAACAGAACAGACTAACAGAGTTGGGATAGACCTTCCAACTGTGTTGTTCTGTTCTGTTCTGTTCTGTCCATTTTAGAACATAGAATAATAGGATTGGAAGGGACCTTGGAGGTCTTCTAGTCCAACCCCCTGCAAATGGCATGAGATCCTACACTATTTTGGCCACTATCATCTTCCCAACACCTTGGCCTGTGGAGTCTTTAACTGGATAGTGTTGAGATGGAATGTGAGGATACACCAGTCTAGACTTGCTCACAACTCATTCCGGTTGAAGAGATGCCCCCATTCACAAACTCCGTTTTGTACCCTTAGGAACCACTCCAGATATCAGAGGGGAGACTGTCTCCATTACAAATGGCCAGTCTCCTGGTAAGGAGGAGGTTTAGAGCAAGGGTGGGTCAAAGACCAATCAAGATCTGCTGTCAGATCTCTGGCAAACTTAGATCACCAGGAATCTCAGATTCCAATAGAAATCTCCCCTCCATGCACACCTGAAGGAAGTGAGCTTGGAATAACCAGGAGAGATTTGGGTGTGTGAAAAAAAAATAGGAGTAAAAGACATTTTGGAGCAACTGAAGAAATTCCTGACTTCGGTATAGTGTTAGAGATATTCTGTCCAGAACTAGTTCATTCTTGCTTATAAAAAACCCTTCCGTTCCCCACCATCCAGTCACAGCTGAAGCTTATTTTCTAAAAGTAAGCTTTTGGAAACAACCAGCAGTGGATATAGGCAAATAATGCCTTACAATGATGGAGAAAGAAAGAAAAATGGAAGAATGTTCAGTTTGCTCCTCCTGGAGAAGTTGGATTTTTAGGAAAGGTTGGATCGCAGAGACAAGAAGCTCTGGAAGGGAGAAAGTAAGCAGAAGGGACAACAGAGAAGCAAACAATCAAAACTGGAGCCTCGTTTAATTGCACAGAATCTCAGATCGGTTCCAATTCTTTCTCCTTTCAGCCATAACATGGTACGTCGACATGGGTGTCATACATTATACCTTGTACTGATATAATATAGAGACTACAGAAACACAGAGATCTGAATAGGGGGAAGGGAAGGATCTTTCCCAATCTTTTCAAAAAGCAGAAGACAGAAAGGCATCCTTGGAACTTTCTTGGCCTTGGATTTAATGGATTAGATTCCTCACCTTCAACAGGGTTTCTCTCATTCTCTCTCCCCACTTCCCCCCCATTAGTGAACCTAAGAGAAGATCACAGGAGCTTTGGGGTCTCTACCAATGCTTGCACGAGGCTTTCTCCTTGGTAGTAAAAAATGATCGCCCATCAGCCAGTTTATAAATAGCAAATAATTGCTAGTGAAAGGAATGGGTGATGCATTCTGAGAACTATTTTGGGTGCCTGAATGCAGGGAGAAGATGTTAATCACAAAGCAAACATCAAGATCCTGAGTTGGAAAGGTACTCCACGTGTTTAGTCCATCCTGGGTGTTGGGGGCAATGGAGAAGAAAGAAGAGGGAGGGAGGGAGGGAGGGAGGGAGGGAGGGAGGGAGGGAGGGAG